CCCCCCCCCCCCCCACTCAGTAACCAGGATGAAGTAACCATGGAGGGGGCACAGCCCTGGGCACCTGGCCAGCACAGAACAGATGATTGAGAAGCCGGGCACACGGGGTTGTTTTTTATTTTTAAACAACCTTGTTCACCATCAGATGAAAACGCTACGTTCCCTGCCAGGAATATTCCCGGCTTGGCGTTGGGTCAGGACCCTCCACTCGGGCCGGGATTCTCTCCCCAGCACCTTCCTACCAGTTGCCCCCGTGAACATGGACATGTGCCTGTCATGTGCATGTGGAACACAGAGTCTGGAGCCACATGGGGCCACGGCGGGCTGGGCTGGGCGGGAGCAGGGTCCCCACGGCCAGTCAGCCCGCAGCAAACACATCTGCAGACGGAGGCCCAGGCCCCTCTCCATCCCCAGGATCTTGGAGCCCCTGGTGGGCGAATTTATAAGGAGAAGACAGGAGAGAAAGCTATTAAAAACAAATGAGGGGCATGTATAAGCAAGGGGGCCCACCCTGGGGTGAAGAGAATTAGAACACGGGTGGGAGTGGGTGGGTGAGCGGCAGGAGTGGGGCTCATCGGAGGGGTGCCAGGCAGGGAGCGGCGGGGCGCAGGGGGTGGTCTCGGGCGGCAGGAGGACTTGGCGCTCCAACTGGCTCTGCCCGCCGCTTGCTGTGTGGTCCGCCTTGGGTTTTTGGAGGCTTAGCTGCCTTATTTGTAAAATGGAATTACGAGGACCTACCTCCCCAGGTCATTCTAGAAACCCGATGAGCTCACGCTCCTAACCCGCCTGGCACCTGGCGCTGGTGCGGCCCGGGGAGGCCCCCAGAAACGGCGGTTCCCCCCCACCACCACCTTCTGCCGGCACGTGTGCGCCTTTACTCAGCCCACAACCCCCTCGTGACCACTCGTGCTGGGGCAGCGGAGCAGGCTACCTTGCATTCTCTTTGCAGAGACAAGTCCATGAACACATGGTTGTGTCATGGAATGCCCCATCGCGACAAAGAAGTGGGTCAGAGGTTGGGAGGGAACCTGGCCGGTGTGGCTCAGTGGTTGAGCGTCGCCCTATGAACCAGGAGGTCACGGTTCGATTCCCGGTCAGGGCACATGCCCGGGTTGTGGGCTCCATCCCCAGTAGGGGGCGTGCAGGAGGCAGCCGATCTATGATTCTCTCTCATCATCATGGATGTTTCTGTCTCTCCCTCTCCCTTCCTCTCTGAAATCAATACAAAAAAATAAAAATGACAATAGAGGGCACCCCGGCCTGCTGGGGAGACAGCTGTGACAAGGGGAGGGGGCAGGAGGGGGGCCATCAGAGTTCCAGGGGCTCCAATGGCCTCAGGGAAGGAACAGACAGGAATGGGAACCAGAACAGCAGGTCGCAGGGCGGCGGCTCCGAGGGAACTAAGCTTGAACTGAATCGTGACCACGAACAAGACTCAGCAGATGCATCAGAGGTGACAGGGGAGGCGGGAGGGGGCAGAGGCCTGGGGCCGAGGTCTGGCTCAGGCACCTGAGGTCGCAGGAGCACTTGGCCAGGAATCTAAGAGTTGAGGCGAGGGTCCTGGGGGCGGGCGGCAGGGATGCCTGAGCCTTGTAACTCCGGAGGGTCCCTCGGGCTGCCTCACGCGTGGGAGGGGGAGAGGCTGGGCCCAGAGGGGGCCGAAGCCTGTGCACCCCTGGCTGGAGGTTAAGGGTGAGGCCCGAAGGGGGCTGGGACACGGCTGTCGGCACTGCGCCCTGGCCTCACCCTGTAGCCTCTGCCCCTCTCCTGGTCCCTGCCCTGTCCTGTGCCATTTCTGCAGGGATGAGCTTTCTCCACAGGCTCTGCAGCCCAGGGGAGTGCCCGCTGGGCAAGGGGATGAGGGCTGAGCCTGCCGGCTGGGCAGGCCGTCTGCGGGCACCTGCCGCCCTCTGCTGGAATTGTTCTAGAACCGCAAGCACTCGGGGGATGGAGCCGATCCCCAAACACACAGACAGCCTGGCTCACCCCGCCACATACTGCCTTCGCTTGTAACTCCACGGACAGAGCACTGTTCACACCAGGGCTGCCAGCTCCCAGGCCAGCCCCTCCCTCCCGCCCGCGGCGACCAGCACCCTGGCCCCCCACCCACCTCCTGGTCTCTTCTCCCTGGATCTTTCATCCTCCTCTCAGAGGGCAGGCCGCCTCCTGGTCTGTTGGGCCTGTGGCCTCAGCTCCTCTGAGCACAGGGCCAGACCCACAGGAGAGGCTCAGGGTCCGGGTCCCGGGAAAGACTTTCTGTTTGGGCCCAGCTGGACGGCCCCCGTCCTGAGCTCCGTGAAGGTTCGGGCTGGACCTGGGGTTGCATGTCCCCTAGAGTAGGCCTCTTCTTCCCTGGGCCTCGGGGAGCTGGGCTTTGTGGGATGGCTCCGGGGTGAAGGCTGCCGGAGCACCCTGCCAGGGGGGCCCGCCCTGCAGGCCAGCAAGTTCCGTTCCCCGCTTCCCAGACCGCCCCTCCCTGACCCCACCTCTCAGCCGGGACTGAGGAACACATCACCCTCCTGGTGGCCTCGGGGTGTAGAAACCTGGTCCTCGCCTGCTTCCGCTCTCACTGCAAAACCTCACGAACCACCGAACCAGAGTCAGAAGCATCGGACAGACTGTCCAACCTATGAGGGAAGGCGGGGGTGAGGGGTTGAGAGATCAACCAAAGGACTTGTATGCATGCAAATGAGCAGGACCCATGGACATGTGGGGGGGACAGCCAGGGAGGGGGGAAAAAGGAGGCTTATGTAATATTTTAAACAATCAAGAATTTAAAAAATTAAAAAACAAAGAACCTCATGAACCCTAGAAGCTGCCTCCTCCGTGTGCAAAGGATGACACGGCCACCTGCCCAGCCACATGCAGGGAAGGACCGAATGGGGCAGCCTGGACCCCTGCTCGGCCGGCCCAGCGTGCCCGCCCCGCGGGCCACCAGGGCGCATGTGGTCAGCGAGAACCAAGTGTCGTTAAAGACCGTTCGCTCTTCATTCACAAAAGAAACAAAAAGAGGTGGGGAAGGAGGACCTCTGGAATACCCCAACAATAAAGATTTTTTTTTAAATGGTTAAAAACCAACAAACCAAAAGACACCATG